GAACCCATAGCGTTCCCATCCATGCTTTTCGCTGTCTCCTCGCCCTCTGCAGCACTTGGTTTCTTTRTCAGCTCCCTAACGTATCTCCACTTTAGTGCTTCTTCCTTGCCAAAGCTCGGCTGTGACCGCGGAGGCCACGTCCGCCCAGCACACTGAAGGACGTCAACAAGAGAGAGCCGAGCACTTAGCTTTATCTCTTTGCTTTCACTCTAACAGCCACGAGCTCCCAACGCTTCCGTGCTGGGAGCCACGGGCCTGCCCGTTTTGCCTCTTTGCAGGCTCYGTTTTGGCTAAGCAGAGGAAAAAAGCAAATTGTGGCTGTCTTTCCTGCCTTTGCCTTCTGCGCAGGTGTTTCAGGTCAGCATCCTTCTCTGTTTATTCCCCCTCAATAGGATCTCCATGGCCTCCCATGGATGCAGGGGGAAAAAGGAATCTATTTTAAGGCATCTGGAGGGAGGATAAGCTACTGGCCAGACTCCCCTTGCGGCGGGAAGGGCAGGAGGCCGGTGCCCCACAGCACTGAGTATTTAAGCCTGCATGGMAGTAAGCCTAGAGGGGGATCATTAGTTTTGGTCCCACACTGTTTTTCATCTTGCTTCTAGCCCCAGACCTGCACCCTTTGGGCTCTTTTCATGTGTGTTGCAATTAGAGATTTCTCTGAAGATGCCCCCACGCAGTTTTTTTTTTTTCCTTTCCCCATTGACAGCGGTGCAAGGAGGCCAAGGCGGCCGGCTCAGCTCCRGGAGGATCGGAGAGCGCGCGTGGGGCTCGCTTGCTCCCTTGCAGGTACGGCAGCGAGACGACGATGCAAAGAGGAAGCCGCGTTTCCAGGCACGTCGGGAGCCCTCGGAGTYGAGACTTGCATGTGGCAGCGCCGGCGCTCCAGGACTGCTGTAGCTGGCTGAGCCGTGGATCTTTTCCCATACCTGGGGGCTGTGGTGAGCTGACATCACGCAGGCAGGTGAGGCTATTCCACCAACAGAAACTTGGAGATTTGTCAGCTCGAAGGTGCTGTCTGCAGGCACCCCCTCGGCTATGTTGACAAAAGCAGATTTCTATCAACAAAGCTTTGGAGCACAGACAAGGTATGAAACTCATAATCTCCTGGCTCTCAATTTAATCCACCTTCCCTTGGGCCAAAGGGCATTCTGATGYGCACGAGCTTTCCTGTGTCCTGACCAAGGCCTAGGCTGTGTGTTTTCCAAATAAACACTGTGCAGGAGTTTGAAGCACAACAGAAATGTTCAAGAAATAACAAACCTCTGGGCTGGCTTTGAGCAGAAGGGTTTTTCTGTTTCTTCTGAGTGTCACGAGACTATGTAGCTTTCCCCTTTGCTTCAAAAGCCCACTTTCGTTGGCTCTGGGAGCAGGAAAATGAAGCCAGCAAGATGGAGCACTTCAGATAATCTCACCCTCTGCACGCTGCTCTTCTGACACTTGGCAGYTTGGCTTGGCCAAACCTTACCTGCAGCAGCTCCTTGTACCAGCTCAATGCAGACTTCATTCGTGGGCTAGGAGCTGCAATCTTGCTGCAGACAGAAGCAAGATTTTGCTTTTCTACACATAGTGACTTCTCTCTTGAGAGAGATTGAAGATGAGGTGCCAATCCATACACGATTCTGAGAATTTATTTTATTTAAATTATCTGGAAGCAACAAGAGTCATGGAATGAATAGAGTCACAGCTGTTAAAAATCATATACAAATCTCTACTTAGGAAAATAAAATAAAGCATGGGCAGCAGGCTCTGATCTTTTCCCATGAAGTCAATCCAAGCCTTGGTTCAAGGTGAAGTTCTGCAGTTGCTATGGGCTAGCCTGCGTGCTCACACCAATCAAAAGGGGTGATTCTCTTTTAGCCTCCTTCTCTACCAGCCCCRTGTTCCTGCTGCTTCACTTGTAACCCAACAAAAACAAGTCATTAGCTTCCAGCTGGATTAGTCCCTTGATCTGGTCACCACGTGGCCTTTTGTAATGGATACAGCATAACTCTAGTTCCTAGAAAATCAATAATGAAACAGCAACGGGCGCTTTCGACATCAGTGTCCAACCTGTTGGTAAAGGTTCTTGGAGGTGTCTGTCTTTTTTTTTTTTTTTTAAATCAAGAGCTAAGTATGCAAAAAGAGGTAATTTTTTTTTTTAAAAGCTCCACCATTCCAGCAAGACCAATTTATTTTTGCTTCCTTGCAGATTTTTGAAAAGATTAACTCAAACTTGAACTGGTTTTTTTTTTCAGTGGTTTTATGTGATGGAATTAATCCTGCCAGAACACCTATGTGACTGAGAAACTAATTTCTGTCACAAAAGRCTTTTTCCTATACTCAGGATGCCTCCCCCAGTTTCCAGACACTGGGATTATAACCTATCCTACATGTTTAGCTAATGGTTTCTTGCCTTGACCTCATCACTGCCGCTCTCTTGGCTTCTAGGCGCTATGGTTATAACCTACCTTACTTGGATTTCAGTCAGCAGTCCTGCCTGTGACTCTCAATCAGAGAAGATTTTTTAGAAATCAACTGAGTAATCAGTATAGTTCCTTCAAAACTTAAATTTGGTACCTGCTGAGGAGTTATGCAAAGGCAGACGGATAAGTTTTTCTTTTATGGGAAAGTCATCCTAGTAGCAGATGTATTAGGGTTGGTTGTTTTTCATCATGTTGTGGAAAGGCAGATTCTGCAGAGGTTTAAACCTCCCAGGCCAGAAGGGAGATGCACATCTGCACATCCCACGAGGCCAAAAACCAGAGATAAAAGATCCTACTGAGCGGAAAACTGTTTTAAAGCAGGCCAGACCAACAAAGGGAGGGGACTTTTCCTTCGGCCCCCCTCTTTGAGAAAGGGGAATCCCTCTCATCATTAAGAACCAAGAATAATCTGTAAAAAACAAAAAAAATCAKGTCCAAACCAAACTTTGCCTTTGTGAGGTTAAGAAAGGTACTGCTCAGGGAGTGCTGCTATCAGGGCAAAGATGAGGAAGTTCAGGACTGATGAAAGGCAAGAGGCTGGTGGAGAGGATGCTCCCACTCCTTCCCAGGCAATGCACGCTCAACATTGCTATCTTTTTATTACTGAATTTAGCTCCTCATTCCCTAAAAMAGAATTTAAACAAAGTACCAGATGCTTTCATGCATCAAAATAAAGGAATAGAAGATCTAATTAAATCACTGGTAGCCCTTTGAAGTGGTATTTTCTTTTTTCTTGTGCATACCTGCCTGTTCAGCAGTTGTTCCATGCCATGCTTTCTTTCTTTTTCAGAGCTGAAAAAAGGTAAGGATGTATGGATTGGAATCAGCAGCTGGCATATTCTCTCATGGATACTAACCCAGTCAGCTTCCTGGTGATCGATGTCACTAATAAAACAAAGGAAGAAATGATGAAATGATGCAAAGAAATGTAGCCGCCTGCTGTTGTTTCTTCTGGATTTTCMCTAAAACACCTGCCCGCAGCCTGCACCAGTTCACAGCTGCTGCTGTGGCTCCATTCCAGGGCACACGTGGCGTGTGGACACGGGGAGGCTGCCGTGCTGTGACTGCAAGAGGGAGTGAGTGCGTCAGAGCTCCGCTCAGGAACTGCCTACAAATTGTTTTCACTCATCCCCGTCTCCCCAGGGCTCATCCCTGTGTCGCCAGATCTCATTCCTGCTCCCCTGGAGCTCATCCCTGTGTCCCCAGGGCTCGTCCCTGCTCCTGTGGGCCATGTCCCTGCATTCCTTCTTCCCTAGGCCTCATTTCCACTGCCTGGGGTCTCATCCTGCACTCCTGCGGCTCATCCCCGCTCCTCTGGAGTACGTCCCCACAATCCTWGGCCTTGTCCCTGCTCCCTTGGGCCTGATTCCCACTGCCTGGGGCCTCGTTCCTGCAGCTCTGAGGCTTGTCCCTACATTCCTGGGGCATGTGCCTGCATCCTGGACATTGTCACCCATACCCCGGGGCTCATGCCTTCATCCTCAACCTCATCCTCGCAGCTCTTGTGCTTGTTTTTGCATCTGTGAGCCTCACCTGTGTGCATCTGTGGCTTGCCATCATGCCCTGGCTCTCATTCCCACATTCCTGGGGCTCATCCCTGCCTCCTAGACCTCATCCACACACCCCTTGGGCTTGTCCCTGTGTGCCAGATCTGACCCCTGCTCCTCTGGGGCACATCCTCGCTCCTCTGGGTACGGCCCACCCCACTGGGCCTCATCTCTACCCCCCAGGCTTGGTCTGCACTACCTGGGACCTTGTCCCTGCACCCCGGGGACCCTGTCCCTGTATCCCAGACCTTGTCCCTATGCCCTAGGGCTTGTCCCTGCTTCCCAGGGCCTCGTCCTTGCCCCTCCAGGCCCTGTCCCTGTGCCCTGGGCCTTGCTCCAACCCCCGTGGGGCTCATTCCGGCTCCTCGGGGGCACGTCCCATGGCGCAGCGCCTCATGCCCACCGCGCCGGGGCCCGGCCGGGGCTGCCGGGGCCCGGGTCCCCGCTCACCAGTAGGCGGCGAGCCCGCACCGCGCGCAGCGGCGCCGCGCCGCCG